GCCCGCGGCTGACGACCGTTTCTAACGAATTCCAAACGGGTTCCGCCAGGATGTCGGAAAAATGTCGCCTTCGGTAACATGTTCTTTCTTGGGTTCAAACTAGATTTTCGCACACGCGTTTTGTTCGCTTCTTATGTCTATTATAAAATAAAAAAAAACTAAAATTCCAACTTTCTCCAACTCCCAGTGGATGACATACCAAGAATTTACAACTTTGAGAAACACTTCACTCCTGAATCTGCAAGCAACGACGCAGACGATCTACGGAAACAATGTCCAGTGTATTGTTGTGGATTTGGAAGACTTAGGAACAATGCTATTTTATACGGCATTTTTCCTAAAGTATTAATGCCAACGGGTTGCTTAATACATTTTCCATTTCTGTACCCCACAAAAAATCGAGGTATGCTGCTGTGTTGCTTGGCCGCATAGCTATATATTCGAACCATTTCCACCATATTTATTCCTTCAACGTTCCCTTTCGTTATAAAAAAATCTCGTGATATCTTTATTTTCGTAAATGGAATAATGACATGAATGCATTATCCTTCATCTTTAACATTTTGCAGCTGCAGATTTGTCAACTCGATACGCCGGCAGACTCCCGCAAGTCCCACAATCAATGAAACTTTTGTCAGGAAATAAGTTTTATCATCGGCTTCCAACAAAAAACGAGTTATGTCTTCTTTTCTTAAAATTCTCGATTTTTTTGACCGAAATCCTTCCGATTTTCTTTTAAGAAATGCAATTAAATGGACGTACTTACTAATATATGTATTTTTCTTCACTGATATTACTGAACGTAGCATGGAATAATATACCCAAAGTGATGAAGCCTTCCTGTGTTTTGAAAGATGTTCAAAATATGCCAGGAGAACCGTTTCGTTATTACTATTCTTGATTCCTTTCCCTTTACACCAATCTTCAAGTTTTACATAGGCTTGCTGGTACGTTTGTCTTGATTTTTCGGGAAGTAGGGAATCGACAACGTTTTGCGCAATGCCTTCAATATCCGAAGGGACACTTTCAGAATCAGAATCACCCATATTAATATTATAATATTAATCAACAAGCACGGTTACCATGGCGTCGACTAATATGGGCACCTGATAATTTTGAATTTTAATTTTTATGAGGATATCTCTGATATTTTAAATTAAATCAAATCTCTTTGGATCGTCCCTCGTGTCGCGTCGTAGATTAAATTTTGAATGATACACGTTCGATACGAACTTTTTAATGAAACTTGTGTAACTAAGCCACTCGGCTAACGCCTCGTGGCTTAATGTTACACGCGTTTCATTATAATGTTCGTATCGAACTTGTATCATTAATAACTATAATAGTTTCCCCGATGATTTGCAGGTCATGTCTCATGGAAAGATAAGAACTATACTAAAAGAATTATTTAACCAAAAAGGCATACGATAGTTTCACGAATTTTTGTTTCGATTCGCATGTCTCACTTTTTAGTGAGCATGTTTTTTGTTTGTAGTAAATGTAGCAAATGTAGTGTGGACTTTTGACTTAATTCCTGCTACTCATATAGTGCGATTAGAAAGACTATTTATTTTGAACTGTACTATAATTTTCGAATCATATATTTTATACTTTTTGTTGTCAAGTATTGTTCTCGTTTGTCTTCCTTATTTAAGTATATTTATTTGTATTTTATATTAAGTCTTAAGTTTTGTTTTTTGCCATTTTCACAATGTTCCATGCTTGCGGGCTCTTGTAACTTTTGTTTAATTGAAACAAATAAATTAATATTATATCTATCTATCTCACTATTTATTAGTATTTTTAATATTAAAATGTACTTTCCCTTGTGCCATCTTAATTTCGAGAGGTTAGAAATCGCCAAACACAGAAGTCTATGCAAATTTTGGACGCGGAAGATATTTCTTGTTGAAGAGGATTTGGTTTAAGTGCAGTCTTAAACTATGATGCAGTGAATTCAGGATTAATGAGCGTTAAAATTAAAAAAAATTGCTATATATTAGTGGAATATTTTTTGTCACTGGGTATATCGATGAATACATCTAAAACGCAGTGTGTAGCTTTTGGTAACAGAGTGGAGAATGCTCTTATATTATAAAAATGACCATATCTATGAATATTTCTATATTTCTCTGCTTGATGTTATCACTGACAACAAACTAGATTGAAAAGCACATGTTGAGGGTGTTAAAATGGAGGTATTGACACATAGCTTTGTAGATTATCTTGGAGAATGTAGATAAAGAAGCTGCAATGGCAGCTTACTATTCTTTTGTAGTCTAAATTGAAATATGGCTGCGTTTGTGCCAATCTAAATTTTTTTCTATTTACACTATATTGTACGTGCTAAATCCTTTGACTGAATCTAAAGTATTCAATGTTAGGAAAGCAGGACTAATCTGGGTGGACAAAATATGTTATTTTAATTGTTACTACAGCCGGACATGTCCGGATTATCATTTTATGAACTGTCAAAAAACAAATGTCATATTTGTAAAAACGTGAGATGTCTTATTATGTAGAAATAATGTGCGAAATAAGATTTTTGTTTATTTAATGTAATTGTAAATGATGATTGATGTTTTAACTTAATGTGAAAGTTTCATTTAATTTGTCCTAAATAAATACATTTGCTCGGTATGCATTCTCGTAGCGGGTTCAATTACAAGTTGACAAATCTCAGTTTATTAATAATATTTCAAGTTAATTAAGCACATAAAACACACAATTCGATAAATATCTCAGACAGCTGAATTTATTAGATATATTTTTATTTATTTCTTGTAGAAACATATTTCATATAAAAGAATATAATCTTTTTTTATCATTTTTTTTTAATAAAAAGTAATAACTTTATTTAACAAAACTTTGTTTTATTTTTTTAGATTATATTATCTATTGGTTTAATATACAGAGTGAGTCTTAAATAAGTGCAAAGATTTTCAAGGCTGGTAGATCTCGATAAAAGAAACATATTTTCTCTTTACCGTTTTTCAAATAAATCCAAAATAACCGAGTTATTTTACTTTAAAAATTTCCAAAAAAAAATATTTTGCTTAAAATAAATTTGCTTAAATTTTGAGAACCACTGGATCCTTTCTGGGTTTTCACTTTGTAAATTTAATCTACTACCTATACAGGGTGTCCCAGAAATAAGTGCAAGTATTTTAACTGGTAGTATAGTTCAACCGCAGAAACACGCCTATGAAGTTTTTTTCGCGAAAAAAAAATTGAAAATTCGAAATTTTTTGAATCTTTTTTTAGTTTTTAGTTAAAAAACATAATTTCTTGATAATATGGCAACATAGGTATTAGATTACATTTACAAGAAAGAAAATCCAAAAAAGATCCAGTGGTTCTCAAAATTTTAGCAAAAAATATTTTAGTAAAATATCTCCGTTATTTTGGACTTATTTGAAAAACGATAAAGAGAAAATATGTTTCTTTTATCGAGATCTACTACCCCTTAAAATACTTGCACTTTTTTCTGAGACACCCTGTATATATGTTGTCATATTATCAACAAATTATGTTTTTTAAGTAAAAACAAAAAAGAATCCAATTTTTTTTTCGCTAAAATAAGTTTTTTTTTCGTGTTTCTGGGGTCGAAATATACTACCTCTAAAATATTTACACTTATTTAAGACTCACCCTGTAGAATACATTATACCTATATAATTATTAAAGAACATAAGAACTATTTACAAAATACTTCTCCAACTCCCAGTGGATGACATACCAAGAATTTACAACTTTGAGAAACACCTCACTGTAGTATTGAGTAATAAAAAGGATTGGAAGGAAGAAACGCTTACTCAGCATATAAATGACCATACCATAACGTGGTATACTGATGCTTCCAAAACCAAAGCAGGGATAGGGATATATAGGAGTATTTGGGCCGAAAACCAAATACTCCGAACCAATGGGCACCTACCCCAGTATCCTTCAGGCAGAAATGTACGCTATCGAAAGATGTGTACAATTTATCTTAGATAGGAACTATCGCGAAAACAGGAAATTGCCATCCTATCCGATAGTCAAGCAGTAACATCAACTCAGTAACCATCAATTCGAAGTTGGTCAAAGAATGCCTAGAGAAGCTCAACAAGTTAGGCAAAGAAAATAAAGTCCTCCTACTCTGGGTGCCTGCTCACCAAGAGACAGAAGGCAATGAAAAAGCAAATGATCTAGCTAGGAAAGGAGCGAACACTCCACTAACTGGACCAGAACCGTTCTGTTTTCCCAGCGGAAACCAACTGAAAGCGGAACTGAAGAATCTGGAAGACTCCAACCGCAACTTGGAATGTGTATCCTCCAAGACACTCGCAAAAAGTTTCTCAGAAACTACGACCGAGAAAAATCAAAGGTTTTCCTTGATTTAAGTAAAAACAATCTTTGGATTGTCACGGGGTTTCTAACAGGACACTGTCTCCTCAACGAACACCTCAGTAGGCTGAAGCTGAGAAACAACGGCGAATGCAGATTCTGTGGGGAATTTGGCGAAACACCAGAACACCTCATCACTGAGTGCGCCGAGACGACGACCATTCGTGCCATGAACTTTGGTACGGCTGATGTCAAGGATGGAGAGCTGGCCTCTGTGGAGCCATCTTAGATACTGGCTTTTGTTAAAGCCTTGAGACTGTATGATGAGTTATAACTCGTTATAACTTAAGAAAGGGGAAAACACAATAGATCTGTAAGGTCGCGGTGACTAACTCCCCTCCTAAACATTCTACATTCATTCTACATTTACAAAATGCAGATTTTTGTAAATCTGAAATTTTTCAACATTCATGGGACACAGGTCATAAAGTAGACTTTAATATTGCAAAAATTATAATGAAAGAATCAATAGCCTCTAGAAAAATAACACACAATTGATATTACTATATTTTTATTTATTTCTTATACAAACATATTTCCCATAAAACAATTTAAGCAGCCTAATCAATAAATAATACTATTTGTATCTAATAACACCTTTATTGTTACAGATCTACACCTAGCAGCAGAACTGGGCAAAACACTATTAGATAGAAACAAAGAACTTGAAGCATTCCTGAAGGAAAAACAGACGACAATTGAAGATCAAAAACTAGAAATAGAAGTAAGTATCGTATTTTAAAAGCTATTTATATTGTCTGTAAACTTTGCTATAATTACTAAACGTTCTCTATTATCTATAAACGTTTGCTATAATTCCCTAGCTTAGAAAATAATCTGACTATACAGGATGGTCCGAACTGTATTCCGGAAACTTCGGCAGCATATTCTGCAGATAAAAATAAGTAAAAAAGTTCGTATAAATGTATGTCTTAAAATGTGTAGAAGTTTCATTTTTATTTCGATTTTTCAATATTTAGATGAAAATTGGTAGATGGGTGTTTCTTAACATGAAAAATTTGATTTTGATGTCAATATAACTCCCATTTGTAGGTGGCGCCAATTAAATGTGTTTTAACTGTTTTGAAGAGTAATAACTTTTCTCGTCGGTACCTGTATAAAACTACTGAGTAAAAAATATACATTTACGACTTTTTTTACATAAAAAAGGTTTCTTGGTAAAAATCGCTACGATTAATGGTTCTCGAGATATTTGGAATCGAAATTATCAATACCTGTCATCATTGGCATAAATTAAACATGTTAACTAAATAGTTATTAGACTGAAATCATAAATTTGAAATCTTTTTGTGTCAAAAGTTCAAAAGAAATTGTTTAATCATCATTTTTTCGCAGAAAAACTTGATTAATTTAAAAAAATAAAAATTTATTATTTCAGTCAAATAATTATACTCAACGTGTGCTTATTATTTTGTCAATAATGACATGTATTGACATTAAAAACTATTTCTATTCTAAATATCTTGAGAACGGTTGCTCGTAGCGATTTTTACCAAGAGACATTTTTTACATAAAAAGTCATGGAAATGTATATTTTTTTAGTCAGCGGTTTTATACAGGTACGGTCGAAAAGTAATTACTCTTCAAAACAGTTAAAACACATGTAGGTGGCGCCCCCTACTATTAGGAGTAATTTTGACATCAAAATCAAATGTCTCGTGTCACAAAACTCCCAGATACCAATTTTCATCCAAATATTGACGTTACTTCACAAATTATTTGGAAAAAATCGAAATAGAAATGAAACTTCTACACCCTGTAACTAAGCATTTTAAGACATACATTTATACGAACTTTTTTACTTATTTTAATCTGTTGAATATACTGCCGAAGTTTCCGGAATACAGTTCGGACCACCCTGTATATTACCCGCACATTCAAACTTTGCAAAATACCTACCATACATGCGTGTAGTATCTATGCAGCTTATAGCAACTGTATAAGGGACAAGTCTCTAGAAACCACAATTCAATTTCAAGCTCATGAATATGCATTATATGTTAATATCAATAAATTTATAAAGTTTATCGCCGATAAATTTCAACAAGAATGCCGTTCGTTTATATAAATTTTGCCACCACACCTACGGCAGGTAGATTAAAATTTTCTACACTTTTTTTAGCGGAAATATTAAGGAAGGTGCTGCTCGAAGTAATGGTTAATTTATCAATGAAAGTATCGTATAACACGTATAACGATTTTGTATTAATAATTTGGTAATTTCGTCATTGCAACAAAATACTCCATTGAGAGCTACACTCAGATGCAAAAAAAGCGCAACAGAAAAATGTTTCGTCAAATTTAAAGTGTTAAATTTTTTTAACTATTTTTAGCCCATTGTTCATGATTATTTTAGCAAACTGTATACAGGGTTATTTACCATATACGACACTGTGAGTCATAGGATCGATGAAGGACTACTAAAACTACAATTTAAAATTATTTCCAAAAGGTACAGAGTGTCCCAAATAAATAAAAATATCAAAGTTGTATTTTTTTTTAAATGAAACACTCTGTATATTATTACATTTTCAGTTTCTAGGATTAAAATAAAGGTAAATTTGATTAAGGTTTATCGCACATTAGTCTTACCGTTTTTGAAATATTTACGATTTTGTGAAAATGCAGTAACAATTTTAATACTTCATTTCTCGAATTTCTTCAGTCTCGTTTTTACAGTCGTATTTAAATGTTTAAAACCAAATATTGTACTGAAGTTTTTCTATTTACTAAATTTTGTGTTGCAATAACAAAAGTAATACTACCTTATACAGAGTATCTAGAAATTTGTATTAAATAATAATCACTAGCTTTAAACGGCAATAACTTGTTTAATTTAAATAGAACACCCTGTATATTTTACGAGAATCAGATGCACAATTTAATTGTCTATCAAATTGAATTATACCATTTTTTACTCTTTTTACTACTATTTTAGATACCTACCATTTTTATACTCTTCGTTTTCGTAGAAAGTGCATTTTCTTATAAGTAAGACCTCATTTATTAATATACCCATGGAATCTTGACGTTTTAGTTTTTTTTATATATGTAACAAATTTTCAACGACTACAGACACTAACGTAATCGCTTATTTTATTCAAAAATAAAAAGAATTATCTAGACATTTGTAAAAGAGCTCCAAATACTAAAAAAATGAATTTTGTATGTTTATTAGACAGTGTGATAGAAAGTAACACCACCTTATAAATTTTATTTAATTTTTTGACGAATGCTTATTTATGACAACAAAGATGTTCTCAATAGTAACTTATTATTAAATCCACATTTATTTAGAATAACTTATTAACTACCTAAATAGTTATTTTTATTATTGCAACATAATAACTAATCAGTAAATAAATTTCAGTAAATATTTAGCATTAAAAACTTTGATACCCTTGGAGAAATGAAGCCTTAACATTTTTACTACAATTTCACAAAATTGAAAATATTTCAAAAACGATAAGGTTTAAGTATGATAAACCTTAATCAAATTTATTTTTATTTTAAGCGTAGAAACTGAAAATGTAATAATATACAGGTTGTTCCGTTTGAAAAAACACAACTTTGATATTTTTTATTTATTTGGGACACTCTGTATCTTGTAAAAATATCGTTAAATTTTAACTTTAATAGTCCTTCAACCCACCCAAAACTTACAATTTATAAAAATCAAATCGTTAAGCTACAATACTCCGTGTCGTATGTGGTGAACAACCTGAACAACCCTGTATATGTTATACATGTCTATGATTTATGGTCTCTCATTACCACTATCGTCAGCAATATTTCATGTTATAAAAATAATAAATGGCCATAGTTTATCCAAAAATGTTAGGAACAAGTTTAACATAAATATCTCTACTTATTTCTCTTTCTAGTACCTCACCAAACAAACAGTAGCGTTAAAGGAAGTAAACGACTCGCGACTGCGCATCTACGAACAACTGGAAGTGAGCATCCAGGACCTGGAACGGACAAATCACAGACTACAATTCGAAAACAGTTCGGAAAAGAAACACATCAAAAGTCTCAATGCTACCGTTGAGCAATTGGAGGGAAAATGCGAAGAACTCCAAAGTACCATCGACGATTTAAGGTCAGTTTAATGTCATAATAATAACTTTAGAATCCACAGTGTATTCAACTGGTAAAAATAGGAATTAACTACTACTATGCGACAGTATTTTCCTACTAGTTGTTAGAACACCCCGGAGGGTATGAGTGTTGATTGAGGAATAAGAAGATGCGCAACCTTATGGGCGATTCGTGGCACAAAACCTGTCCGAGATGTAGCTGGCGTTACAGTCAGCCTGTCCGAGAAGTCCGAGATTTAGTTTAGCTCTGCGCAGCAGCGCGTTGTTAGTCGTTTACAGCACAGAATATAATGAATACTGTACCGTAGTTCTGCTTTCAGTCGACAGAGTGGGTGGTTGCGGGAGACAGTGTTGCCAGAACTACGGATTAAACCGTAGATTTACGGATTTTGGGTACAGTTCGTTAACAATACGGATTTTCTATCATTAAACACTTTAATTATGATTAAACAAAGAATGACGTCAGAGTTGGCTTGGAAATGAAGATCGCTGTTATTTTATATGTAAATGTAAATGGCAATAGTCGTCGTTTCCAAGCCAACTAAGGGACTTTTTTCGATCATACGAAGTTATTCTATGTTTGACACGAATTCATATTCAATACATCAACGCGGATTTTTTATCCATTTATCCATTACAGTTATTACACATTTTAATATGGCCACATCGTCGCTTTCAGTTCCAAACCGTCTTCGATATGCCTTCGCTAGCCGAATTAGAGAAATTGAGTGTTTTATGCGTTGGCTGCAGAACTAGTAAGAGGCTCCACCGTACAACACTTGAGACGTAAGGGGAAATCAAATCAGCCTTGTCACGAATTTGCTCATTAGGTTGCGTATCTTCCCAATTTTTTCAATCAACTGTATAAGTTTAATAACTACTTTATATTTATTTTTCATAACTGCATGTGATATGAGACACATTTCTTTATTTTTAGAATTTTACTCTAGATACTCCTGGCTTACACTATTGTTAGTAAACTATCTGGATTAGTCAATATACACACTAGTAATCTAATTCTCTAGTTTACCTCACGACTTTCTACTTTTTTATCCACTCTCATTGTTAATAAGAAAAATAGAGTATAATAAGAAAAATTATTGTATTATACAGTATTGTTTTGTTTACAGGATACAAGTAGATATTCTTAGAAAAAAGGCTGCCAGAAACAGTGATATAGGATTACCGAAAAGTGCCACTCCAAAAGAAGTAGTAACTTTAAGACACGTACATGGAAGACCCGAAGATGATTACCCAACGAGTCCGGACCTATCGCCAGCTGTACATACAGATCAGGTAAATATTAGTATTGGGAATAATCGGATGATTTCAATCCTCGAATGAATCCTCGAGGATTCTAATATAATCAGTTGATCAACCGAGAAATCCTCGGTAATAAAACTTTCTATTTTCTTTGTTTACCTTTATAAAACTCCAACTATTCCAAAGCCTGTATAATATTGCGATCGATACCCGAATAATGAATGATTGGTGCGTTTAACTTGCTGTTTGTTGACAGACTGTTATCATTTAGGTACTTGCATTGCGTTAATCAAACTGGTAGTTACCCTTTCTGTTTGTTGAAAGCCATTTGTTAAAGCGCCTAGGTCTCGGTTTTAACATCTTAAAAATGTGTTTATTTCTTTAAAATTTGATGCTGTCTAACGGACAAACGAAGCACTTTTGTAAAGAGGTAAGATACATTTAAGTGTTGATTGAAGAAATAATTCTTTCGATCAACGATTTAAGTTATTTTGATTTCAAAAATAGGTAGTGGTTCTATATCCACTGAATGTTGGGACACCCTGTATAATAACAACTCGAATTTACAAATTTGTCATTGTCAGAAAACAAGATCTCTCGTTTTTATACAATAGATATCTCATGCATTAATCGCAAAAGTAGGTACATAGTAGCTTACCTTCATAAAACCAATTAATGTTATGAATGAATTAGAAAAAGAAAGGTTACTAAAGCCGGTGCTAAAGCCATGAGATATTAGATAACAGACCTGAAATTTGGCCTACGTTACAAAATGGATGTCGCAAAAGTATTATTTTTTCGGTTTTTGGCATATTTAACTACATAATATTAAATTGCGAATTTGTTCGCATTGTTCAGTTCAAATCCATTTTTGTTAAAACTACCATTTTACTTAATTGTTTCATTTTCGCTTATATAATTTTAAAAATTCTATACAATCCGCACAATTATTGTTAAATCGCCTTTTGCATAATAATATGTTATCAATTAAATTTTGTTAAATGTTAATATTATGCTTTAATAGACAGTACAAGACTCCGTGACATAATTTTGACTAGCATAAAAATGTTTTCATACTGTGCTTTCAATAGAAATACGTTCTTCTTAGATATTAAAAAAATATCACACAATAATAATTAGGCATTTTTTGGAGTATTGTATTTTTAAAATTCTTTTCGCGCTAAATTATTATAGACTGCACTGAACCAATACAAGGCATACTGCCAAAAAATGCCTATATAAGCGCATGAACCAAAATTATTGATATGAATGCAGATCCTAGTCAACCTACTCTATACAGTGACTGAAATACTACAATAATTTTATAATATTCAATAGTTAATTATTTATCAGTCAATAAAAAATAAAATATTAATTAAAATTACATAAATTTGAGTTATAACAACAGTTACAAACATAAAGAAAGCCTAACACAAAGCGATAGAAATTATATCCTAAGTAACCAAGACGGTTGAAGAAAAAAACAGCGTCAAAGTTGGCTTGAACTGAGTTGAGTGAAAAAGTTGGGGAACCCTATTACTAAGACTTCAAGTCTGTCACAAAGGTCTATCTTATGAACCCTTATAGCTAGACAGTTGAAATTTTTACAGATAATGTATCTATGTTGCCGCTATAAGAACAAATACTAAAAATATAATTAAATAAATGTTTATAAATAAAAAAGTACTTTCATTAAACATTATCTCTTAAGTAAGAAAGTCCTCGGTGGCCGCGTGGTTAAAGCAAAGCGTTAGACTTTACGCTGCTATGACGTTGGAGCCGTAGTAAGGCAGGTTCGAATCCTAGTCAAGGCGACTTTTTTTAATCGTTTTTTTTTAATTTTTACATATTTTTACATATTTATTTTTACTTTTTACATATTTATTATTGATTAATACAATTTTTAGTAATGTGTTTCTTCATTTTTTTTAAAATTACTTATACGCGCATTCAAAATTTCAGCTAAATCGGAAAAAATGTTTATAATAATATAATGTTGGTATAGATAATGAATGGTACGGAACCCTTCGTGCGCGAGTCCGACTCGCACTTGACCAATTTTTTTTATATCTTTAGTAATAAAATCTATTTAGCTCTACTAGGTTCCAAGACTGTTTCTTATTTTAATTTAAATAATATTCATCTAGTTTCTTTTAAAATAAGTTTAAAAAGTTGTAACCGGTCTCTTTCCACATAAAATAAACTAAATAGATGTAAACAATAAATTCATTCCGAGATACATTCATTGACTAAAACCGGCAAACAGGGTAAACGAAATGACTCAGTCATTACAGGGATGCCTCGGATCTACAGTCAAACGATCTATCTAGTCTTCCTCCTCATCATAACCGTTGACTGCATCCACTTTTGCCTTATCTTTAAGTAACATTTTTATATTTATTTTTAATGCTGTGCGAAACAAAAACTTATTGTTTTTGTGTACCTGTTTTTTATAATAATTTTGTATAAAAGATAAATAAAACTACCTAATTCGAATATGAATTTAAATTGAAGAGTTACGCTGATTGCCGGCAACACGTTAAACGACTAGGCATTTCAGGGAATGACGGATTTCAGTATAATATGACGCCGACATATTCAAATCGAAACGCCGCCGCCGGGTAATTTTTTACCATAGCAGACAATATCAGTCTATGAAGACATTTAAATTAGTCATTTATCTAAGTGCTGTTCTGTATCCCTAAGTAGCTATAGGTACTAAATAATAAAGTCTACGCACAATGTAAATAATTTTAACATGAATTTTTCATATTTTATTACGTTTTTCGTAGGTCAATTGTACCAGCCCACCTAGGCCGGACACGCGACAAAGTGGAGACCCACCTTCCCTCACTCCGACAGATCCAGAATGTGACCAGACCAATTCTGACGAAACCGACAACGGCATGGAAGAAATTGCCCAGCTCTTAGCACAGTTAAGGTAAAACAACTGATAATAATAATCTTGTTAAAATATTTCCGCCTCTTGTCGGTATTACGATAACAAAGAAATAACTATTAAAATCTACTTAAATATGGATTTAGAAGTCTGAAGTCCGTTAAGTCAATAACATTGGTATATATATCTAATAGAAAACATTTTAAATTAAAAGTCTTGTGTCTTATATTTTGCTTATAGAGGTAGAAAAAAACAGTAGATAACTTTTATACACTATTGTTTTCGAAGTATTCTGTATGAAAATAAATGCATTTTTGCCTCCGTTGGGACCGATTTTAAGGGAAGTTATTCCACTCGCTTGTCTCCTTAAGAACTGCGTTTTTGTAGGCAATGTCTGCATCTTCTGGAGACTGGAACCTTTGACCACGCAGTTCATTCTTAATTTTTGGAAAAGTACCAATAGTCGTTAGGATTCGGTGCTGTATGGAGAATAGTCCAACAATTCGATGTTTTCTTGCTTTTGGCGTTTATTTTCGGATTCATAAGAGTAAATCCATGATTCACCACCACTGATAATACTGTATATATTGTAACGGATTCAGTGGGTCCACTAATTTAAACTCACGATAAAATACTTAACGAATTTATTTTTCTTCAAAATTTACTATTTGATCCAGATATACTACTTTCATCTTACTTCTAGGGCTGCGTTGAATCCTGTACACAACATCATTTATCCCCTTGATGATTGTATAAGGACCTTCCCAAGCCGGACTTGACTTTGGGGACCTTCTGCGGGTTATATAACCATACCATATCGTCCTGTTGAAATCCCCTAGAATTAACTCTGAGGTCGTAACGAGCTTTCATCCGGTCACTTGCTAGCGCAATCTTTCTTCTAACGGCCTTAGGAACGTTCAGTAATCTTTCCTTCCTAACGATTCTTTCGAACGACAGTCCAACGTTATCTTGTTCCATTGTTCCTCCAGATCGAGTACTTGGTCCTTGTCTAGCTGCCCAAATCTTACAACGTTGACACCATTTCTTAACATCTTCGCAATAATCCACCCAGTAAAAACGGTCTCTCAGCTTGCTCAAGGTCTTGTTTACTCCAAGATGGGCTCCAGTTTTACCACCGTGAATTACTTCCAATACCTGGGTAACTTTTTACCTTGGTATCAGTAACTGAGTTGTTACTGTTCGGCCATCCGCACTTTCCCACGTGCGCTTTAATAATCCATTCCCAATCACCAGTGAATTCCATTGAGCCCAGAGAGCTTTGAAAACCAGCCCTCTGTCCGCAATATCCTGCCACGGTGGTCTCTCGCCGTACACCTTCCTTGAGCCGTAGTATTGCTCCGATGTCTGGATCTTCCATTTGATCGTTCCTCAATTGTATCGTCATCAATTGTTCGTCAGTTCTCAGTTTACAATTCCTTACTCGGATAGTGCTTTCGCGATGTTTCATTTTCTTGTCCAAGGTAGCTCGTCGTCGATCTGGCTCGTTGTCTATAATTTGTACCCGTCCTACACGGCACCCAGAGGTTTTCTCCATTTTCCCGAACACAGTCTTCTTAGTATCACCAGGTATAATCACACACAATTTATACTAATTAAACGCATAACTAACTATTTATAAAAATGTCCTTCGCCAAAGTGTCCGATTCGCAATTTAGAACGCGGTATATTCAAACTTCAAAAGCTCAACTCATACTCAACTATCCCAATTACCGATTACGCGGGCTTATATACTCTACCAACTGTTTCTGGAACCTTCTATAGAATTCTGTAATATTTCTTTCACTTTCTGGTGAATTCGCCATGTTTCTTGACACATAGGCAACCAGCAATACACGTTGCGACAATGTAGGCAACCAACAATACAGTTTAGCGCCGCATACACCTTGACAATATTTTCTTTATTAGAGTTAACGGGTGTAGAGTTTTTTGACACCAATTTACTCTAATTGCTTTCTGTTTACCCGTCAACAGATGCGGTTAGGGTTTTCAATTTTCGGGATCGGGATTCCGTTTTGAAATCTCTGGATTAGAAAACTCACCAAGGCATCTTTGTTGAGAAAACTTTCTTGGAAAATTGTAAAAAATTATTGACATATAAATTTGTCGGCTTAATTCCATTTGACTAAAGCTTGACAAATTTAATCCAACTTTAATAAAAATATAATAGTACAAGAGTTAGCACCGTCGCCGTCGGCGCGCGGCGTCGTGAAAACGAGAATTTTAAGAAAGCTGGTTCTTCAATATATCTTTTGCCCCCTAACCAAAGTGCAAACCGCCTAGCTGCCGGTAGACTACTGCGCATCACATATGTACAGGGTAACCCATTTTCGTGTATTTTATGGGATTTCTCGTTTACTAGTAGAGATACAATGATGCGATTTTCACATTACTTTGCTACTTTTTTCTGAAACTAAATATGCTACAAATAGGTTAGTCTTAGCCCCCTTAGTTCTTGAAATACAGGACGAATTTATGATGCGCAGTAGTGAACAGATGTTGAATACAGATATAATGCGCAATAGTGAACGCAATGTCTACCGGCGCGGCAGCCAGACAGTCCGCACTCTGCTTAGGAGAGCGTAGCAAACCAGCTTTCTTAAAATTATCTCTCGAAAACGTTGCTAGCTCTTAGACTATAAGTAAAACTTCTGGAACTTTCTTATGGAATTGAAAATATAAAATGACGCCAACCATAATCAAATCGTATATCCGATGAACGGAGGCATGAAAATGCAATAAATTTAAAACTGCTTAATTCTCTTTAATCTGCTTAACCAATCGAAGTCTTTAAATTCAACCAATAAAATTAATATCGTATCATCGTATCGTCAGTTGACTAACTCGTCAACTTCAAAAATGCAGTTTAAGTACAGCCACAGATAACATCTATGTCATCTGTGGTACAGCTTTAAACGAAGTGGTCTTAAACTTTGGCGTTAAGTTAACTAAAGATGATAGTTAATTTTGACATTTGCTATACATATGTTGACAGGCGCCTACTATGTTTCTATATGCAAAATATAAAAAAAATTCAAAATTCTTGAAAAAAGTCTAGGTTTTTTGCCACTGGAAAAAAAATCTACAAAATAAAACAGTTATTTTTTGTAACCACTTTTTTGTAACCTAACCTAACCTAACGGAAACCAGCTTCTTAGTGTTTTTTTAATAGTGAAAAAAATTTGGACGACTATGCGTTTATTAAGCATTTTTTGTCGGTTAGGCAACTTTGTTTTACTGGTAAAAAGCCACTGTCAAGCTGGTTTCCGTTTGAAATCAAGGCAGTGGTATCAGGGCCTATTTTTCATCTGGTCGGGCCCTAAGGCCCAAGCAAAAATTCGGGCCCTCTTTTCCAATAAAATTCAAAAAATCAAGAAATTATGAATATTTTACAACCTTTAACGGGCCCCCCAGACCACCGGGCCCAAGGCCCTGGCCTTATGGGCCTTAAGGTAAAATAGGCCCCGAGTGGTATTTACAAAAAATATGTAACTATTTTATTTTGTAGATTTTATTAGAAGACTTTGTTCAATAAACAAAACCTATTTCACTAAAAGAATGCATTTTTGTAACAAACATTAACTTATTTGGTATTTTCAGGGAGACTAGAGCACAATGCAGCAAAGACGAAAGGATCATTGCGGAACTGGAAGAGCAACTGTCCACCATGGTGAGGCAGAACCAGGCACTTGAGAACCAAGTGATACAGCTAAGCCACAGAGGCGACGACCTGAACATGAAGAGCATGCACGAGGAACTGACAACGTTGGACGAAGTCAGGCAAGTGGACGATGATACTCTCAATTATCTAGACTCTGTAGAATGGGTGAATGTTTGCTGGAAGCCCCGTAGCACGTATAGTTATCGCCGATCTCTGAATAAAAATCGTTACATATTACCTTTCACAAAGATTACTCTAAGGCCGGTTAAAAGACATAAAGTTTCTGTTCAGTATTTGCTGCTGAGATATGTTAGGAGAGTTATTTTCGGGATAATCTTAAGTCCTTTGAAATGCGTTGCTTTATAAACAATCAAAAATGTTTTGTGTTGCTGGGTAAATATGAACCTGTCTTAAAGTCCGGTTGACACAGCGTCCAAGTGTATTTGGACAATGTCATAATGCATGTCACGTATGCATGGATGCTGTGTGCACCTCACTTGTACGCTGCTTCTAGCGTATCAACCGCTTTACTCAAGTCGACTTGGAAGACTTCGTAACATCCAAGCCTATGGATGTTACAAAGCCTTTCAATTTGACTTGGATGAAACAGTTAACACGATACAAGCAGCGTACAAAAAAGACGCGCGTAGCATTGTTATAAGTAGAGTTATATGACAACATCCACGTGTACTTGGTCCAAATACACTTGGACCGTGTCAACCAGCATTAAATGATCTGAAAAAAAATCATCGAGTGAAATTATAGCTATGTTCGTAGCTATTCTGAACGTATTCTGAACGCTAATACAGAATTTGCACTGGAAAAGTTTTTTTTTCATTAGTTTTATTGACTTGTAATTACTTAAAAACATTGCCTTAGCGTTCAGAATATGTTCGGAATGGGGTCCGCGAACATAGCTTATTTAAAAAATCTTTAGTGTTGTAGAAGATATTTTTGTTTGTTAAAAAACCATTGTGTAATGTCTCATACAATATAATATTTTTAATAATAAATCAAGCTTATAAAAACATTTTTGGCTGTTATTGACCCCATGCTAAATAAAATATAAATATGTTAAAGCAAATAATAATCCCCATACTTACACATTATGTCATGTCTTTGAATAAGAAGACTAAGGAAGGAGCATATCAAAAATCTTAGGTACACCGCGATGGGCCTCAAATATGGCCGACTTAAATTCCGGTTTATCAGTGTCGTTCTAATTTTATTTAAAAAATGTAAAACTATGATGTAGGGTAGACGTGGGGTAGACTCAATAATTTGTTGTTTTATTTTACGTTGTGAATAAATGTTGGTAGTTATTAAAATTGTTATAAAAATATATAATTCTAATAAAAATAGATAAGTTATAATAAGTATTTATTAACACAAACATCCGATACGCTACTGAAGCAGGTAAGTCAAATTAACGTATCTAAATTCTTTGACATCTAATCTTTGACAAGTAATAAATAAAGAAAGCTAAAATGCAAGAAAAATATATAATTTAGTTAATTTAAGTGAATTTCATAAATGATCGGTTTACTACACGTATGTATATTATATAGTCACTTACTAGCGAAAAGTTGTTCCATTATTTCACTCAATTTTTGCCGAGATCTACCGCACGCTACACAACCAACTATTTTAGAGTCTTTTTCGATAAATCGCTATAGTGTCACTGTTAATTTAAGTTCTGCCACAATTTCCATCTAGATTTACTACCTTTATACAACTATCAATAGTAGAATAAATAAAAAATAACATAAAATAAGCTCCGTAAAGACTGACAAATCCACATAATTTCAAATCAAATTCAAATGTGTCAAATGAATCGTCAAACAGAACTGTCAAGGATCCCCACCCTAGAGAGCTTTTATGGTGGCTTTTCCGCTCACCATGCATGAATACATGGATAGCATTATGCTCCTTCCTTAGTCTTCTTATTCAAAGTGTCATGTTAACATATTTCACAGGGTGTTTCAAACTTTCACCAAAATATCAACATTTTGTTTTCCATCGTATAAATGACAAATGGAAACTTAAAACTTGTAATATGTAGAATGTTTAGGAGAGGGATTAATCACAGCGACCTTACATATCTATTGTGTATTCCCCTTTCTTGAGTTATACCGAATTATAACTTTTAACTTTTTTTTTAACTTTATAGACAAAAATGTTAACGTCATTCGAGGAAAAAGAAAGCAATAATACGCTTAGTCCCAGATATATTACAGCTTGGTTATTTTGCCGTACAAGGGAAAAACCAGAATAGTCAACGCGTAAATGGCAAAAACCACAGATGTCCTTACGCATGGGCGACAAGCATGCATCTTGCAATTAGTATTACATGTAGTAAATTTATGTATTCTAATAAAAACCTACTTAAATATTAATTTTCTTCCTACAACAAAACATAACAGTTTAGATTTAGGTTTCATACAACCTTTAATTGGACATCCGTAATTTTTTCCCTGTTTTGTTTTGCATTTTGACATTTTTATTTGGTGTTTCAGAATATGGCGATAATTACTAATATTAATAATTCAGAATTGGTAGTAATATATGTTGTTCTAATTATTCAACCGAAAATTACATATTTCTTTAAAAGCACTAAATTGCATTTTTCTCGGTTCCAATTAAAATGGATAAAGCTGGTTTTTCCCGTGTAATCTTCAAATGATGCTGTTTTGGAATTTATGGATTTATACGAAAATAAGCCCTTTACCCAAAAAAATACTTTATGGGTATTTCGTCACTGCACTGCAAGAAAAATCTACAAAATAAAATAGTTATTTTTTGTAAACACTTCTGGCGTTAAACCTAAACGGACACTGCTTGTCAGAAGTTATGTTTACAGTAATAAAAATTTGCCTAATAAAGAAAAAAATTCTTAACATTTCGGAAAGTTAGTCTCTTTCCGTCGTCGGAAGCAAAAAAATACAAAGAATAAAGAAAAAAAACTATTTAAATTCAACTATTCGAGAACACTTGACTTTTTTTAAAACAGATACGTCTAGAAGAAACCGTGAAGTTCTGTTAAAATGAACAAAAATTTTAACTTCTGACAAGCAGTGCCTGTTTAGGTTTAACGCCAGAAGTGTTTACAAAAAATAACTATTTTATTTTGTAGATTTTTCTTGCAGTGCAGTGGCGAAATACCCATAAAGGATTTTTTTGGAGAGATGAATCCGCCACATATAGGTATAGACATTTTTTATAAGCCCTTTATATGGATGAACAAACATAAAGAACATAGAAATCGTATTGCAGTGTTAGAACTTAAAAAGAAAAGATAATCACTAGCAACGACAATTTCGGGACCACCGGTATCGATCGATGCGACTATACTGTTTACTTGCCAAGGATTTAAACAATAGCTTTGTTCGGGTTCTTGTTATTACCGATTCTGAACCGTCCAAGAACTCTGCAGCGCATGCGCAAATGAAATAATGTCTTCATATTTCCTTCTACGCATACGCATCACAGTTCTAGGACGGTTCAGAATCGGTAATAAGAGAAACCCGAAGTAAGCTAATGTTTGTACTGGCGTACTTTTGCGCCACACTTGCCGATGTTGTTTACAAAATGGGGACAGGTGGGGATACTTGCCAAGTACGCAAATATTGTCGTACTTGCCAAGTAGACGAGTCGTGAGAGTCCGCCTTAAGATTTAAAGAAAAATTAATTTCCTACTGTGCAATTCATTTTGTTGATACTATAATTACATGTTTGTAAAACATACCTCTTTCATTTCTAGGCAAGGCCAGATGTGCAGCAAATGCCTGCGCGGCCTCGACCAAACCGACAGCGAGCTGGCCGAAGAGGATGACCAGAGCATGCTGGATGAACTGATGACGCCGCAGCATCGCACCTCCTTCTCGTTGAACGTTCAGGTGAGGCACGTGCTTGTCCGGCACCTGGGATTCCTTTCTCTATCCGAATGCTTTCTCTAGTTCTTTCGGGAGCGTAGCGTGTGCTGGGTTATAGTCTCAAGTAATTTTGGGATCGAATCAATTTGATTATGTTTTTTAGAAGTGGCACAATAATGAAGACGTACAGAATAGCTGGTTTTGGGCTGGGTCCAAACCACTAATTCTACGCCTAAATAGTAAAACTAATATTAGATGTCACATGATTGGTCTTCGTGCCAATACATCCAACTGAATTTTGTTATTATAGTCTGTTTTTAAAAGCCTGTACCAAACCAAACAAGATGTCGATGGTTAGAGGATCTACCTGCGAAGCTCCTGACCACACCAATGTGGTGTATTAGTGTTTTAAGATTTTATATACAGGGTGGTCCGAACTGTATTCCGGAAACTTTGGAAGCATATTCTGCATATAAAAATAAGTAAAAAAGTTCGTATAAATGAATGTCCTAAAATGCTTAGTTTCAGAGATACAGGGTGTAGAAGTTTCATTTTTATTTCGATTTTTTCTAAATAATTTCTGAAGCACCATCAATATTTGGATGAAAATTAGTGTTTGGGAGTTTTTTGACATGAGAAATTTGATTTTGATGTCAATATGACTCCTACTGGTAGAGGGCGCCACCTACATGTGTTTTAACTGTTTTGAAGCATAATAACTTTTTGTACGTACCTGTATAAAACTATCGAGCGAAAAAATATACATCTTTGTGACTTTTTACGTAAAAAATATCTCTTTGTAAAAACCGCTACGAGCTACCGTTCTCAAGATATTTAGAATGGAAATAGTCAATACATGTCATTATTTACGAAAAATAAACACGTTGAGTAGATAGTTATTTCACTGAAATAATAAATTTAGTTTATAATTTATTATAATATAAATTATAATTTTTCTGCAAAAAATGATGATAAAACAGTTTCTGTTGAACTTTTAGCACAAAAACATTTCAAATTTATGATTTCATTCTAATTTCAGTCTAATAACTATTTAGTCAACATGTTTAATGTATGTCAATGATAAGAGGTATTGATTCGTTGCTTTTGGCAGGTCTCTGAGATTTTGGTCGGATACGAAATTGCTGCAATTGAATTATTCGATTAAGGTATCTTCAGATAGTTTTTGTAAAGTTATAAGCGTTCTAGTTTTTTTACAGCACGGAGTCACAGGAACGGATCTGTAGAAGATATTTGAAATGTCCAATCAGACTTTTTACGCTGTGAAGAAAAAAATCACTCATACTGAAACATCAATAAGTATAATATTTTTTTAAGTGATAAATTAGATAGCAAACAAAAATGTATAGTTTTTTATATCTTGTCTCTATATATTTTGATTTCTACATAGTGCGTTTCTGATGTGTTATTTTCGTTGATTTGTTGTTATCCTACGTTAAGTTTTTGTTTACACTGAACCAAAAGTCGACATAAATATAATGAAAAAGTTTATTAATGTAATGAATTAAATCATTAATTTTGAGCCGATGAACGATTTCATTGGCACAATCAGGGACGCGCCAAGTATTTTCAGCGCCGTCAGCGATGGCTATGAAATGAAGATCGCTGTCATTTTATATGCAAAATTATATGGCAAATGTCATCGATTGTCATTTCCAAGCCAACTGGACGCCATTTTTTTTCGATCATACGGTATTAAGCCAAAATTTCCAATGACCAGCGGCGCGGCGCTCGACATTGGTGGATAATATATTTTCACCACTGGCGTTCATAGATAAAAGTATTAGTTAAATTTTATGTTAATTTGTAGATAAGTTCCAAAAAATTGTTTTATTATTTTTCAAGTCAGTGACCGCAGGCGCCTTTAGGGCTTTGGCGCCGTCGTGCGCCGCACGACCTTGCCCATATGGACGGCGCGTCCCTCGGCACAATGAAAAGTAATTCATTAATTCTATGAACTTTAAGTTCATTAAATCAATGAACAGTGTTCATTAATTTAAAGAACACATTCATTGGTACAATGAACAGATTTCATTATATATATTATATAATGTACCTCAATCCTTATATTAATGAACCGTATCATTAATACAATGAAATAATTTCATACCCTGTTTAGTTATACATTTAAAAGTCGACACTATTAGTAACTCTTGTTATACCGTATAATCGATCATGAAGATCGCTGTCATTGATATGAAATGTCATTGATAGTCATTTCCCAGCCAACTACCTAAAATCTAAAATAATTCTACTATTATAAATAAATTTCCATTTGAACAAGCCCTTAGCTACAAAGGTAACAAAATTACCAACAGTGCCGACTTACTTACGAGCACAGTACACGAGAATTTCGATTCCAAATATTTCCAAAACCATTACTCGCAGCGATTTTTACCAAGAGACCTTTTTCACGTAGAAAACGTCGTAAATGTATATTTTTTTACTCAGTAGTTTTATACAGGTACGGACGAAAAGTTATTAGTCTTCAAACCAGTTAAAAAATATGTAGGTGGTGCCCTCTACAAAGTAGAAGTTATATTGACGTTAAAATCAAATTTCTCATGTCAAAAAACTCCCAGACACCAATTTTCATCCAAATATTGACGTTACTTCAGAAATTATTTGGAAAAAATCTAAATAAAAATGGAACTTCTACACCCTGTATCTCCGAAACTAAGCATTTTACATACATTTATATAAACTTTTTTACTTATTTTTATCTGCAGAATATACTGCCGAAATTTTCGGAATACAGTTCGGACCACCCTGTATATTATATATGATAAGTCATATTTTAAAAGCAGACTTAAATAAATATTTCTTATTTTCTGAAACAGATACTAAATCAATTTTTTTGTCATAGCATAATATAATCAGAATCTCAAGATATGAGGCAAACTTTTCGGTATATTTTTGATAAGATTTAAATAAATGATTATCTGTTAGACAAAATTTACGAATTTTAATCGCATATGTCAATATTTTTTCGAGTTTATGTAGATTCAACATGAAGCCTTGCCTAAAGAGTAGGTTTCGAAAACAAAATTTGTGAGAACTATGACTTTAATAACTTAATGAGACCTTTAATAATACCACAGAATAAAGTTAATATATGGTAATATTAAATTACATTGTCATTAATTTAAGAAATATAATCAAATAAATTTGAGTCCCAATATTACTATTTGCTATAAAGCCTGCTTCAAAATGAAAAAATAGACTAAAAATTGGTGTGCCGACATTTTGCAATTATTTCTATGTACGTAGTGGCATTGCATGGGGTATTGCAGCTGCATGTTACAAAAAAATAAAAATGGCTGTGGTTGTTTTTGTATATATACATTTTTCGTGTTATTTGTTTGTTTAAACATTAAGTTGGTTTATTAAAATGTCTCCAATAAACTAAAATGTATGTAATAAAAAATTGTGCGTTTGTGTTATTTATGTTCCATAGAAAAAATGTAGAAAGTCTAAATAATAGTTAGATTTTTGAAAAAGGGCTTAATAAATAAAAATATGTTTATCCCTTTACAACCAAACATAGATATTTAAACAGTTTAAAAAAGTACTAATAAACATTGTTAATAAATTCCATGCTATTTTTTCTATCTTAATAATGCCCTGCTTTATTATTTTAGACTCATAAGTGTGCTGTTACGTTAGTTTTTCTGTTTATTTAATCATATTTTATGTCCTTTTATGGAGATATACAGGGTGGTCCAAACTGTATTCCGGAAACTTCAGCGGCATATTCTGCAGATAAAAATAAGTAAAAAAGTTCATATAAATGTATGTCCTAAAATGCTTAGTTTCGGAGATACAGGGTGTAGAAATTTTATTTTTATTTCGATTTATTCCAAATAATTTCTGAAGTAACATCAATATCTTGATGAAAATTGGTGTCTGGAAGTTTTTTGATATGTAAAAGTACGTACTAGTAGAGGGCGCCACCTACATATTTTTTAACTGGTTTGGCGAATAATAACTTTTCGTCCGTACCTGTATAAAACTACTGAGTAAAAAATATACATTTGCGACGTTTTTTACGTAAAAAAGGTCTCTTGGTAAAAATCGCTACGAGTAATGGTTTTCGAGATATTTGGAATCGAAATTATCAATACCTGTCATCATTGACATAAATTAAACATGTTGACTAAATAGTTATTAGACTGAGATCATAAATTTTAAATGTTTTTGTGCCAAAAGTTCAGCAGAAACTGTTTTATCATCATTTTTTTGCAGAAATATTTATGACTAATTTAGAAAAATAAAAATTTCCCAAATTTATTATTTCAATGAAATAACTATCTACTCAACGTGTTTATTTTTCGTCAATAATGACTTATATTGACTATTTCCATTCTAAATATCTTGAGAACGGTTGCTCGTAGCGATTTTTACAAAGATATATTTTTTACGTAAAAAGTCACAGAGATGTATATTTTTCCCCTCAGTAGTTTATACAGGTACGGGCAAAAAGTTATTACGCTACAAAACAGTTAGAACACATGTAGGTGGCGCCCTCTACCAGTAGGAGTCATATTGATATCAAAACCAAATTTCTCATGTCAAAAAACTCCTAGATACCAATTTTCATCCTAATATTGACGTAATTTCAGAAATTATTTGGAAAAAATCAAAATAAAAATGAAACTTCTACACCCTGTACCTCTGAAACTAAGCATTTTAGGACATACATTTAAACGAACTTTTTTACTTATTTTTATCTGCAGAATATGCTGCCGAAGTTTCCGGAATACAGTTCGGACCACCCTGTATTATCCCGTATAACCGCTGCCGCGCTGGATCAAATTTGTTAAACTATTTGATAGATACAAAATTTTCTGTCAAAAGTTTTAAAAACTATTTTAGAATTTATTTCAGCTGAAAGTATTATTAGAACATTCGCAGCTCATAAACTTCAAAATTCTTCGTCTGCCAATATTACAAAAAAAAACTGTAAATAGTATAATTTCTATTTTATTACTCTGGACGCACATGTC